CGGTTTAGTCAACAAAATAAGAAAGGAGTTTGTAGGGTTGTGAGGAGCATGATCCTCTAAGGATGATCATGTCCTTAAATTTAAACGTTGTCTTAGTTTCGTTTTGTACAACTATTATTCTTGTACCCCTATTGACCAGTTTTGGTGGCCAACCTTTGGGAGCCCCTCAATTCCAGTGTTACATATTGTAGGTAGCTACCAAAACATTCCATCCATTCAGAACCGAATGGCAACCAATGTGAATTTTACTAAAGCAACCTGATTCCATCTCCATATTGATCGCCATAAGGCATGCAGGCTGGCAGCAAATTGAAAGTGATCTCAAAAATCACCTTCGTGGTAGGCAGCTTAGTTGCTATTGCACTGAGGTCCTCAAGGGGGTTCTTAGTGCAAGTTAGCATTGTCAATTACCACAGTCTAAGAATGCGCTTAAGGAGCGTCAGATTTAACAAGTCCGCTGTGCATTACTTGGCATTTATCCAATCTGAAAGGTGTTGAGGGACAAAGCAGAGCTGAAAGCTCTATGGGAACGTATTGATAACCAATTAGGCATGATTACCGTGTGCAGGTTTTGTTCTACAGACTATCATCTAGACACATGAACCGGATTAAAGAAATTAAAGAAGTTCAACGATCACTTTGGTTAATATGTTAATAACACATCCAGGTTATTTCCAAAATGAATATAAATAACGTAGAAAATCTGTTAGTGATGCATTTAGTCTACCGGTCTTATTTCTGTTTGTTTGTCCAGCTGAAAAACGTGATATCATCGAACAAACCTTGACTCACTGGGTTCCATAAGATTCAAAAACTCGATGGATAGACACACCAATGAACTAACCGAGAAATACATTAAACAGTAGAAATCTTTGTTTTCCTTGGACAGTTGCGGGAAGGAAGTGTTATCACTGGGATTATATGCCGGTTCAAGTTGAATGTTTCTGGTTGTAAACTACCGGTCGGAACCGATCTTTCTTATGTAGACTGAGTGGTTCTGTGATCTCACAAGTTTCTTACACTCCGAGGAACTGCTGATCCAAGATTGCAAACCCTGTCCTTTCCCCTATTGGTCTATGCCTTGTATCAGTCCATTCGATCGTGTTTCAACCCACCGTTTTGCAACAGTACTCATTGTGTTCCGTCGGCCCTCATGGGCTCTTTAACCCCCCCCCTCTCTTGTTTTTTACATCTGGTATCACACACTCTTATGAGGTCCCAGACCCGAAAGGAGCACATTCGCCTCTCCTGTCCGGTCATTCGTGCAGGCTTCCACAATTTTATCTCCCCCCCCCTCCTCAATGCAAACAAACGCACCGCCGCAATGAATTAAAGTTGACTGCATCCCTGTGCTCTTTGGAACTTTTATTGATTTTATTTGATTGAGGGTAGCGCGACTTGTAAGCTCTCCAATCGGCCCGTTTGTATCTAGCTTTCATTCCACGACCGACCAAAACAGAATTTTGTTCACGTTTCTTGAATGTGAAAATCTGGACCATGACGTTACGGAATACGTTGATTACGTATATTTCAGTGATCATCTTTCGGTGTCTAAACTAAGGTTGCCGTCAGCCTAAAGCGGAGTTCAACCAGTTGGTGCGTTTCAGTTGGGAAACCATTAATTTATATCCTTTATTCAAAAGTGACCAACCACCTCCTGAGGCTGCTCTCTATTGGCAGAAAAACTCCGCACAGAGCGCCATCCAGCTTATTTTAAACCGATGAGGGCACGCAATATTCAATAGTGACAGTACTAGTTCAAACCAGAGGATATTGCTAGGGTCTGCGTAGCACAGATCCAAGAAACTGCAAACATATCTGTTGCATAATTGTACGTAGCCGGCGGTTTTTAACTCCCTCATCCAAAATTCGATCACGTTGCCTGATTTCCAAAATTGTTATTAGGCACCGTTTGTCGACTACGCAAATTGCTGAAAGCCTTGAACTCTCAGTGATCGAGCCTAGTGCGGGTACAGCAAGATAGAACACACTACTGAGGAAACTATGCTCAATCTGGTCGTCAACCTGATTCGTTGCGTCGCCGCGTCAGTGATAGCCAAAGAAACAGTTCAGTTCAGTGCTTACAACCACTAACCATACACTATCGTGCGTCGGTTTTTGTTGCTGTATTTTGGTTGCCCATTTGGATAAAATAGCACAAGAAAGATTAAAATGTTGAGAGCAAATTCAAATGGAAAATAGCAATTCTCATAGACTGAAGTTACAAGAATGAGTAGATGCATAAGTGCATCTGTTTGCGATACGCAGCCATATCGCTCAGTGTATCTAACCATCGGTGACCACGATCTCTGGGTCCCCAGCCAGGGAGCCTGACGGGACCTATGTGAGCCAGTCTCCTGGTCAAGGTTTTCGTACCCTCATGCCAGGTCTTGGATTGACCGCACTTCATTTTTTTCCAAACCGCTACCTGCCTCGCCAACAACCGCTCGCCGTGGCAACCTATCTGGTGACATGCGTAGCACATGTCTCAACAAGCGTAATCTGTGGAGGTTGACTACCAATTCAAGTGGACAACCGCGATTACATAAAAATCTACGCCAAACCTCAGCATTGCTCGTTCGGTTTCCCCACCAGGCTCGTGCAATGCGACGTACACAGCGATGTTCGAACACCGACAATCTATTTTTATCATGTTCCTGTAATGGTCAAGTCTCTGCGCCGTAAAGCAGAAGTGACCGAACTTGTGCAGTATATACTCGACCCTTCACAGATAACCGGATATTGCGACGGCGCCACAAATGTCTCAACTTGGCAAATGCTAACCGAGCTTTCTGTATGAGCGCCGACACCTCATATGTGATGCGTCCGACAGGTGAGATATAGCTGTCCAGGTAACAAAACTTGTCTACTTTCTCTACAACTTCCCCGGTC